TTGCTGCTTCATTTGCCTGTTTTATTCCTGTGCAGTAGCTAATTCTTGTCAATAAAGCCATTTGCAGCAGTTCCAGGCTTTCCTCAGAGACCAGAGGTGATTTATCTTTATGTTTCTGGAAGATGTACTTACTCTCCAGGAGCTTTAAAGACAATCAGGCCTTTTGTCCAGCAGATATTCCCAGTGGATCTGAACAAACAATATCTGTGACATCTTGGCAGAGATCAGTGATCCTGGAAGTGACTTGCAGAGTGCTGCCCCAGGCTGGCAAAACTGCAGAGAGCCACTGCTCCTTTAATAAATCCCGCTTGAAATGACAGGAGTCTCAATCCTCAACTTTAGATTGGCTTTCTGGAAAGTTTAGGCTGCTCAGCACCTAAAGGAGCTGCAAGAGAGATGGATTTTTGACAAGGACAGGGAAGGGGAATGGTTTCAGACTGAGAGAGGGAAGGTTGAAATTAAATATTGGAAATAAATTCTTGACTGTGAGGTTGTGAGCCCTGGCACAGGGTGCCCACAGAAGCTGTGACTGCCCTTGGATCCCTGAAGTGTTCCAGGCCAGGCTGGATGGAGCTTGGAGCAACCTGGGATAGTGGAAGGTGTCCCAGCCTATGGCAGGGGTTGGAACTGAATTGGCTTTAAGGTCTCTTCCACCCCAAACCACTCTAGCATTTTAGTATTATAACATTTGAGATTATAAATTGTGTGTTTCTTTACCTTAGAGATTCAATCTTGTGGTCTGAGAAAATAACTCATAGTTATGTACTCACTGCTGCATTTAGTTGCAGTGTCTTGGTTGTCTTGAGGCAGAAGACAGCTCTTGGTGTCCCCTCAGTATTGTAAATAAAAGCTTTATGTCCCTCATAAAGAGCTTGAGACTCCTTGCATTAGTGCTGGATGAGATGATCTGAAGTTCAGGAAGCTCAGAAATAGGAAATCTAACCCTGCCAGCATTTACCACAGCAGAAGACACTGCACAGACTCGACTTTGGAGCCTGATGCAGTTGTGGTGTGGAAAGGTAGGTGAGATTTTCAATGTCAGTACATTTTGCCTCCCCATCTGGCACCTTGGCTTCTCAAGGACAAGCACTGTGACACTGAGCAGCTTCCTGCCAGGATCCACCCACGGTGTGAGAGCTGAGATTGGAGCTGCAGCTCTTCCCAGCCTGGGGCACTGGCCAGGGGAAGCATTGGTAGGTGCAGGTTTAATGTGAACAAAACACAGTGGGAAGGGTTGGACTCCTTGGATAAGGAGAAGGGAGCATCACCTGAAGTGCAGACTGAGCCATGAGTTGGTATTTGTGTACGAAACCTGTCACTGCAGGTTTCTCACCCACAGTCCTGTCCCTCTCTGGCAGCAGTAGCTCAGTCCAGCCACCCGTGGAACAGCAGACCTGCTCTGCAGAGGATTTTCAGGGAAAACATCAGGAGCACCATCAGCACGGAGCTGTGGCAGCAGTAGCTCAGTCCAGCTCCCTCAGCCACCCGTGGAACAGCAAACCTAGACCTGCTCTGCAGAGGATTTTCAGGGAAAACATCAGGAGCACCATCAGCACGGAGCTGGCCTTCCCATGGACCCTTCCTGTGGGACACAGCCTCCCTTGGTGCTGCTCCTGAGCCAGGCACTGCAGGATCCCTTTCCTTTTGCTGCAGCTCTCCAGCAGACACACTGAGCTGCTCAGGCCCTTCCTGCCAGCTCAGATTCAGCCAGTGCAGGGGACACGACTCACCAGCGTGCTCAGCCTCACTCACTTTGGTGCCTGCCCCCTTGCCTTGGTTTGGAAAGACAGGTGTCTGCTAAGGAAGGCAGGAGCCTCCCCTGAAATGGAAAATGTAAATCTCCCCACCTCCAAATTGCTATAAATTTGAAATTAAGGGGCTGTCAAGCAAAAATATGGGAGCAGAAAATAACAGTTCTTTATTAGAGAAGAAAATAAAAGGATAAACAATGCAGTAAACTAAAACAACACTGACTGAGTCAGAGCACAACCTGACACCCTGTTGGTCAGGGTGGTGGTAGCAATCCAGTTGGAAATGTGGCTGCAGCCCTCCTGGAGTGCCAGGTGTGGTTCTGCTGGAGCAGGGATCCTGTAAAAGGGTGGAGTCTTCCTCTGAAGATCCAGTGGAAGAAGAGGCAGTTGCTCCTCTGGGAAGTCCAGTGGAGAAGCTGTCTTGCTGTCCCAGGATCTCAGATTCTATCCAGGTAGGAATGCTTGGCTCTTCCCTCTGGGCTCACATCTCCCAGTGGATGCTGTGGTTCTTATCAGCCATGCAGGGACATTCCATAGCCTGTTATCAGCAGGTGTCCCTCCAGAGGGAGGAGTGGGTGTGGAAGAGATAAGGAAAACTGCCCACTGAACAGAAGAAAACTGCCATCCAGATGGCAAATAGAGTACAATTTCCTTGGCAGTCCAGGACACCCCTACAGTGGAGCTGGGAGATATTTTATTGCTGCAGATGCCATCATTTAGGCAGAAGCAGTGAATTTGTGCTCCCAGAAGGTGCTGCTGTGTCATTTGCTGCCCTAATGTCACTGTGGCCGTGCCAAGTTCTAATCCAGGTGATGTCATTGCATTCCCTGTGTTCCTGTGCCCCAGGTCTCTGCCTGTTTGCTGGTTTGTTTTTTTTCTGTCAGCTGCTTAAAACCAGCTGCTGGATTTCACTCCAGAGGAGGGAACAAACCCATCCCTGTGCAGGGCCTGGCATCAGAATATCTGAAAGGGCACACAAGCTATTTAGTGGGTGCCAGAGTCAAAGCTGCACGACTGCCTGAGGTGCTGTAATTCCTGAGAGCATGGCACCCTGCCCAGAGCTGAGGACTACCTGCAAGTAAAAAGAGTTATTTGTGTTAGAGGGCAGGTTTTAAATAGACTTCTTGTGCAGTTGGAAATAGTTTGTGTCGTAGTTCCAGGGTCAGCTGTCCCTGGATGTGTCTGTGCCTCTAAGGCAGCAGCCTGCAGCATTGTCTGTGTGGGGAGGGTTCCAGCAGCCCCCTCTCCTGAGCCCAAGGTTTTAATCACTGTCATGTCTGAAGACTCCTGCAAGTTTAATTTGAGTTGCATGTCAAGGAGGCTGAGTTAACCACTGAGCCACCAGCCCTCACAAAGCCTCAGGCAATCTGACTGGGAAAATAAAGTACTCTCCCCATCTCCTCACTGACTGAGCATTATTCATGGAGCTCTCCTAGGCACAGGGGTGAATTCATCAAGTCTCTGCCTCACTCAGCCCGACCCTGTCAGAGACTTTGCTGTATTTTCTTCACTGGGAGTTGAGGAAGCTCCAGCCCCTGTTTCGTCTGGTCACTGCTGTGTGTGAAGGAGATCCTTCCACCTGCTTAAACAGCCCATTGCCTGGGGCCAGGGAAGCATTCCCAGATTCTTTTCCTGGCTGTGCATCTCTGCTCATCCCCCCCACTGCTTGTGTGAGCTCAGAGACAGGTGACATTGCTGGGGCAGCCACACCTGCCTCTCCCAAACCACTGACCCAGAATGGTGGGATAACCACTGAGCCTCCGAGGATTCACACTCTCAGGGCACTTGGATCCATGCTCCTGACTCTGCTCCGGGTTTGTCTGTGTGCAGACATCCCAGGGATCTGCAGGACAGCAAAACCTGGCCCCTTCTGGCATCTGGGTCCAGCTGTGCCCTGCATTTCTGGAGGCAGCCCAGGCACCTTTCTGCCTTGTTTCTTTCCTCTAAGATCCTGACAGCTTCTGGGGCAGCTTGGACTTGAAATGATGCAGTTGTGCCCCAGAAGTGATGGCAGAGTTCCCACACGCAGGTGTGGAGCTCACAGTGCAGGTCTGTTGGTGCCAGGACATGGAGCACCCTGGCTGTGGTGTCATGGAATGGGGACACAGCCACAGTGCACCCACCTGTCTTGAGGTGAGATGTGGTCTGAGCCCAGAATCACCCTCTGCACCCACCTAAGTCTCAAGGGGAAGCATTTTTTAATGGTAAACTGCTATATCACTATTAAAATATATATATTCATACATATATAATAATTATATTATAATATATAGTATAATAAAATATAATATAGTAATATAATATATTAATATATAATATATCACAATATATAATGTATTTTATAGATTATATATTTATAAAATATTGATTTTACATATAGATAGATAGATAGATAGATATAAAATAAAGGTGAACTGCTTTATCTGCATGTTAAGGAACACTGAAGTGCTGCCAGTGAGTCCCTTGTCACACAGGGAAACTTGTCACCTCTAACTCCTCTTAAAATCAGACTTAACAAAAGCCTGCAAAGTTGGGCATTCATTTATTTGCTTCACTGGGTGTCTGCTTTTCATCTCAGATAAATGATGCACACCAGTAGCTGTTCTTTTTTGTATTTTAAACATTTTTATCCTGATCTTTGGTGAACAGGACTCCTGAGAGTGTTTAGGTCAGCTAGAGTGAAGGAGATAATTGGCAGTTCCACCAGCCTGAGTACACAGAATTTGAGAATGGAATTTATTTTTTTCAGAAATGACTGCTTTGTACACCAGGCTGTCTTAGTGGCATCAAGAAATGAGGGGTTATTAAGCTGAATCATAAAACCATTTAAGTTAAGATGTAGCTGATCTCAGTTATTGCAGAGATGTTATTATTCTGGTTTCCTCAAAATGAGCATGATGGTTTTCAATCTTAAGAGGAAAAAACCTGCAGTGTCTTTAACAGCAAAATTCCCAAGAATTAGTAAAAATTATTAAGGGCCCCTGAAAACACTTTTGTCTTCCAAATCAGGATAATTATCAGACCACCCCCACCACCCCCAAATAACAAACATTTTTGACATCACATTGCAGCTCAATCTTTGAAGTTGCTAATTAGTTCTGCATAATGAGTGTTTTAGCAATCTTCCAAGCACAGCCACGTTTGGCTGTGAGCACTTTGGAGCCTCAGGGCATTTGGATTATTCCCTCCATGTCCCTTTCTTCCTTTCCTTGGAAGGATGTGCTGCAGGTTGAGGGTGCCTTGGTTCATCCCACTGCTTTTTGGGGTCACTTGTGGGACCTCCTGTGTTTTAAGCAGTGCCAGGGTGCCTGCCATGCCAAGAAGTGAAGCACACTGGGAATATCTTCAGGAATGCCTTCAACCAAGAGTGCAGACAGTGGAGTTGCTAAAAAACATCCTTCCCAGTCTGGGAACGGCAGAGATTCCTGAAATCCCAAGGAGAAAACAGCTCACTTGAGCTGTGTGGGACACAGTGTTTGGGAATCTGGGGGTTTTGTTTGCAATTTAATTCTCAAGGAGATGTCTCCTAGAAAACACAGCTTTTTTTTTCACTGTACAATAAAATGAAGCTGTTAAATACCTTCCCCTCCCTTTCCCTTCTTTCTCGCACACTCCTGTTTGCCTGGCTCACTCCCACTGCCTGGTGGCTCCCTTCCCCACCACGCTGTGTCTGGCAGTCTTTTTAAGTATCTGTAGGCAATTCTTAAAGCTTCCTTGGCCATACATAAAAATATATTTCAGCAGGAGCGAATACAGGGCTTCTAGCCATGTGAAAAAAAAAGAAGAAAATTGGCAAGCTGCAGAGAAAAAATGGTGATTCTAATCCCTGTGCTCATGGCCTTGAAGGCAGAGTCTGGGAGCTGTCAGAACATTATAGATAACCTTCATTTCTGTGTGTGAGTCCCTGGGATTATTGTTGCACAGAGTGTGATTATTCCAGGTAAGTTACGTCTTTTCTTCTTGCGAAATTGCTGCTTTAAGAAGATTGTGTGTTGTTTTCCCTATGTGAATTAAATAATGGATTCTCTTGGGCGTGTGGAGTAGTTAGGAAAAGCAGGATAAAAGCCTAGTGAATGTTTGTTGTGCTGGAGTGAATGCTGAGGAAAACCCTGGCTGAGACTGAAACTCTTTTCTTTCCATAGGGAATGCAGTCGGATTTTTGGTGAAGATGGTCTGACGCTGAAACTCTTTCTTAAAAGGACTGCTCCCTTTTCTATTCTGTGGACTTTGACTAACTACCTGTATTTACTGGCTTTAAAGAAGCTCACAGCCACAGACGTCTCTGCCCTGTTCTGTTGTAACAAAGCTTTTGTCTTCTTGCTTTCTTGGATTGTGCTCAAAGACAGGTTCATGGGAGCAAGGGTAATGAACGTGCCTCCTTTTCCACTCTCTCATGTTCTCATAATTGCACTTTAACCCATCAGCCATGGTGCTGCCACAGCACTGCTGCACTGGGACACCATGGAAACCTTTCTCATTGAGTTTTATGATGCAGCCTCAGGATCAGTTAGAGACCTCAGAACTTCAGAGGGAATTCCGTGTGGGAATTCCAAGGAGCCATTACAGCCAATAACTTGATTAATTACAATAGAAGAACTTCCAGTTTCATAGAAACCTATTCTGTCTTGGCTTATTGTGCTGAAGTTTGGTTAATTTTATTTTAAACTTAGTGATGAATGCTTAGGTTCTAACCAAAGCAGTTTTATTCCTTGCTTGCATAGACAGGTGTTTGCAATGTGTGATGTATATTCCATGTGCTTCCCTGTCACTTTTCACACACACATTTACATGTGCGTGTGTCAAAATTGCTTTAAAATTAACACAGCTCTATTGTGTGGAGATGAATTTTGCACTGAAGTGTTTAAGGACTCACTGGCAGTAAAATGGACCCTGCAAAAATCTAAAACAGAGCTTGAACAAAATGTTGTGCCCCTGGATCTGGGGAAAGCAAACTTTTTGTGTAATTTTCCATGCACACATCTCCCAACATGCAGCAGTTTAAACTCTTGGCTTCACACCTTGGATGAGGAGTAGTGAGAATTTCTGCTAGTTCATTGATGCAGATTCCCCTCTGAAATGACTCAAGGTCGTGTTGGGCACAGTCCTGACTTAATTACTGAAAACCTTGAACTTCATTAGGCACTGGCTGGGGCCAGGTGTGGTGGCTGTGACCAGAAGGGACCAGAACAGCTTGATTTAAGTTCCATGGAAAGCATGGTGGATCAGGACACTCATCCAAGTCAGTTTGGTTTTTGAAAATGGGCACAGTTTTTTCCTTTTTTTTTTTCCCCCTTTTTTTTTTTTTAATTAATAGTGTGGTAGAAAGGTTCTGAAATGAAAGACATCCTGTTGTACAGGTATCTCATCTGGCTTTTGGAGCAGCCACCAGGACACTGAGCAGAGCACTGTGCTTGCCAGGCTGAGGAGGTGAGCCAGTGCTTGAAGGTAAATCCAGACACTTGGATATCTATTTCCTACCCAGCTGAAAATACAGAAAGATCAGGTGAATGTTACCCACCCTCAGCCCACTGACTGACTCAGAGAATAAACAGGGTGTAAACCCCTCAGTTCTCTACAGAAATAACAGGAAAAATAACTAATCCCCTCTGCCCCTTGATCATCTGAAGAAATTGAACATTTTGTACCCTTTAAGCTAATTTTCATCTCAAAGCAGCATCTTTTTGGCAGAGCAAGCATAGCTCTTGTTCTAGCCTGCTCTGTTAAAGAAACCTAGAAATAAAAGCTGTTTTCAGTTATTATTTATTTTTCACTGACTAAAAAAGGTTGCCATGAATATGCATTAGTATGAATTCTGTAAACACCATGGGGTTCACATAGGAAAAACCTGTAGGGAAAAGTGAGCAGCAAATCCTGCACATAAACTGGATTTCGCTGCTCACTGGCAGAGCCTGGATGCCCAGTGCTGGAGAGGTAATTCACAGTGTTTTCCAGCAGCTCTCCTGATAGAATAACACTTAATTATGTTAATAACCATGCAGGAGAGTGTTTGAGAGCTAAAGTACAACAGAGCAGCACAGAGCCAGCTTTTTGTGCCTGAATGCCTCAGCTGCTCTCGCCCGCAGCCCCTCGGAGAGCAGCAGGAATTGGGTTATTTGGACACTGAGGACATGAAAAGAAATGAAGGTCTAATCCTATACCCTGAGCCATGTTTTTGTGGAAAAACTCTGCACCCAGGAGCTCAGCCAGCTTTTCCAAGGAGCTCAACTCAGCCCCAGAGCTCGGGGGCTGTCGGGCACATCCAGGTGGCATCGAGGTGGGGATTCACAGAATTCACAGAATCACAGAATCACTGGGTTGGAAGAGACCTTCAGGATCATCAAGTCCAACCCAGCCCCAGCACCTCAACGCAACCCTGGCCCTCAGTGCCACATCCAGGCTTTGCTAAACACACCAGGGATGGTGACTGCACCACCTCCCTGGGCAGCCATTCCAGAACTTTATCACCCTTTCTGGAAAAAGCTTTTTCCTGATATCCAACCTGTATTTCCCTTGGCACAGCTGGAGGCTGTGTGCTCTGGTTGTGTCAGTGCTGCCTGGAGAAAGAGCCCAGCCCCAGCTGAGCACAGGCACCTTTCAGGAGCTGTGCAGAGTGAGGAGGGCACCCCTGAGTCTCCTTTTCCCCAGCTCCCTCAGTGGTTCCTCACAGGGTTTGTGTTCCAAGTGCTTGGGACAGCAGTGGCTCTGCAGCACATTCCCAGCTCCCTGTCTGCCCAGTGTGGCTGCAGCAGTCCCCAAACTGGCCATGGATGCCCACGGGTATGTTGGACGTGCCTGATGTCCCTGTGATCCCCTGGCACCTGGATTCCTGCACGCCTGAAAGCAGCTGCCAGCCAGGTTGCAGGGCTGGATTTTTGGATGCCACATCCAAAGACAAACCTGTCTTGCTGGCCATCCTGTGGAATGGCACAGTCCCACCTGTGGGGGCCCTGCAAAAGGCTGCACGCAAAGTTTCAGCTGCTGTGGCTGTGTTTGAGGCACCAGAGTGTGTGCTCTGCAGGGAGAGCCTCGTGCCATCAGTGGTGAAGCTGTAGCACCCACCTGAGAGAGAAAAGCACCAGGGGAGGTTTAGGTTGGGTATTAGGAGAGATTTCTTCACAGAAAGGGTGGTCAGGTGGTGAACAGGCTCTCAGGGGAGTGGGGGAGTCACCATTCCTGGAAGTGCTCAGGAAATGTGTAGCTGTGGTGCTTTGGGACATTGTTGAGTGTGGATCTGGCAGTGTTAGGAGAAGGGTTGGACTCAGTGAGGTCTTCTCCAACCTTAACAATTCTCTGGTTCTATTTACTATAAAGTGGTGCAGGTAGAGCTCAGGTACCTTGAAATACCTCCTGCCCTGGGCAAGGACACCCAGAACCATCCCTGCCTGCACCCTGGCCTTTGCTTGGACACTTGTGAACATCTCTCTCTCAAGTTAATAACACATCCATGTTACACCTTGGGAAGTCCAGACAGCTTTGGCTCAAAGCAAGCACAAATATTTCAAAGACTCCAGACATTTGAGTAGTTCTGCTGGCTTGTGCTGCTTGGATTTAGACACATGCTTGTATGTTTGCATGTTTAAGCCCTTGGTTGGGCTTCATGTGTGGAGTTGAATCAGTGTTTTTTAGGTAGGTGCAGAGTAGTTTGGGGACATTTTTCTCCCCTAAAAATGTTGACTTCATCCTGGAGAGAGGTTTGTTCTCCATCCTTGAAGGTGTTCAGTGCCAGGTTGGAGGGGCTTGGAGCAACCTGGTCTAGTGGAAGGTGCCCCTGCCATGGCAGGGGGTTGGAACTGGAGGATGTTTTAAATTCCCTTCCAACCCAAACCATTCTGTGATTCTTTACACCCCATTTTCTGCTGTGTTCCACACAGGAAAAAAAAAAAAATGTTTCTGATAAACTGTTGGTTGGCCTTGCTCTCTTTCAGGGAAAAAAGAAAAAAAAGAGGCAAGCTAATTTCATTCCTTACCTAGGAGGCTCCAACAGAAAGTTACTGTGCTCTTCCATTAATTAAAAGCCTCGTTTAATGAGCTGACAGCCACCTTTGCTTCCCAGTGACCTTGCAGAGCAGCCTGCAGATGTGAGCTCAGGTTTCTAAAGCCAGCACCTGAGGCAGGCACAGGTCAGCTGTGCTGATGCCCTGGTGTGTAACATGCAGGAGGAGCCTTGAGCATGAAATTTAAATAATGTTTTTGCTGTTTTTAGTCTCAGGAGGTGTTCATGCTCCACATGTGTCCATCATTTTAGTTGTTTCAGGGGGGAAAAATATGCTTGGCTTTATAAATAATTGATTAAATTAGGGATCTGGCTCTCTGAATTTGGTTTAGACAGACTGGGAATGAGTTTTTCACGACAGGAAGAAAGGGAATGATGGATCTACTCATTTTCACTGACACAAGGAAAGGGCTGAGCAGTGAGGGCACCAAGAGTTAAATCTCCATCCTTGCCCTTGGCAGGAGGGCATTACTGCATTGGACTCTCCTGAGACTGACACATTGCTGGAAATCCTCCAGCTGACAGCTGAAATCCTGAATTTCTGTGCAGGGCAGGATGTGAAGGGCAGCCTGAGGTGAGTCCAGGCAGGGCAGGAGGGTTCTGCACTCCCAGGGAAGAGGCCGTGGATGTCTGAGGGGTCCTGGCTGTCCCTGGGCGTTGCTTCCAGGCTGGGATTTCCATGGTGTCTCCCAGGATGGCCCCACTGCTGGAATGGGTTATCCTGGGGAGGAAAGGGGGGAAACCTCCTGGTGCCCTCTTGTTAAAACCTTCCCAGATGTCGTGACACCACTGAGAGACTGGAGGAACTCCAGCCCAGGTGTCTTGGTTTGAAAAGCCAGGTGTCTGCTTAAGGAAAGCAGGAGCCTCCCCTGAAATGGAAAATGTAAACCCCCTCCCTCCAAATTATTATGATTTTGAAATTTAAAGGCTCTCAGGCAGAGATATGGGAGCAGGAATAACAGTTCTTTACTAGGAAAAAAAAAAACAAAACAAAACACAAAAACCAAACCCCTCAAAATATAATTGTACAAAAATCCCAAAAAAACTACTGTCAGAGTCAGAACATGCCCTGTCCCCCTGTGTGTCAGGGTGGTGGCACAGTCCCATCCCATGGGGGCTCAGCCCTCCTGCAGTGCCAGCTGTGGTTCTGCTGCAGCAGGGATCCTGCACAAGGGGGGAGTTTTCCTCTGGAGCTCCAGGGCTGCTGGATATGGGCCTGCTCTTCCTCTGGGAATGCAGGGCAGCAGAAAGCTGCTCCCCTGGGAATGCAGGGCAGGAGAAAGCTGCTCCTCTGGGAATGCAGGGCAGGAGAAAGCTGCTCCTCTGGGAATGCAGGGCAGGAGAAAGCTGCTCCTCTGGGAATGCAGGGCAGGAGAAAGCTGCTCCCCTGGGAATGCAGGGGGCAAAGGCTGCTGTGCTGTTCCAGGCTCAGATTGTATCCAGGTAGGAATGCTTGGCTCCTGCCCTGGGTGGAGCATCTCCCCGTGGGATGCTGGAATTTGATCAGCCATGCAGGGACACTCCCTGGCCATGGACAGCAGAGATCTCCTGGAGGGAGGATTGGCTGTGGGAGAGATAAAGAAAAAACTGCTCCATGAACAGAGGATAACTGCCCACCTCTGGCAGCTGGCAGTAGAATACCCCTATTTCCAACCTCAGACACCGTGGCACTGGGGGATCTGGATTTCAGCTCCTTTTCATGGTGAATTTGGATTATCAGTGATACCCTCAGGTTTTGCTGACCTGTATCCTGGAGTTGGGGTGTTTTACATGGAAGTAAGGTGGGACACAGACTTGCAGTGGGGTTTGTGGCTTTGGCACAGCCACTGCCATGTGAGGGGGCCCCTGTGTGCCTCAAGGACTGGTGAAACTGGGCTGATGGTGAGGGGGAAGGACTCCAAGCTGTACCCAGGAGATGAGTTTTCCTGGGAAGATGTTGGCCTGGATGCCTATGGGATTTAGGGGCACTGACATTTTTACCTGGAGTTTCAGAGATTGGCCCTGCCCTGGGAGGTGATTCTGGGTTCCCCATTGTCCCCTGTGTGGGAACAGCTTCACCTGAGTCAGTTTTGTGTCCCTGTCCTGTGTGTCCCTTGAAACATGGATTTGCTCTGCTGAAGTTATTTTGTGGGATTTTTTTGTGCTTGTTGCCTCAGTCTGGCTCACACCTGCCTGGGATGAGTGTCAGTGATTTTCTGGGACTCCTGGCAAAACTGTGAGCTCTGAAAGGCTGTTTTACAGCAGGGCACATGTTTGGATCGAGATGAAGTCTTTGAAGTCTGTGGGCTGAAGCTTAGTTTTACCCAGGACTAAATATTTCCTAGATGAAGTTCAGTGAGGTTTTAAACAGGCAAAGTGCCAGTGTCACACTGGTGTTGGCTCAGGAGATGTACACTGGCTTGGGAAACACTCACTGGAAGTTGGGTATTCAGTATCTTTGAAATTCACACTCTACATTTACCTGCTGAGGGCAATTAGGCGGAGAGGGGGAGTTTTTTAAAGAATAAAACACTTTGGTCTCCTTACCACTTCCTTAAGGTTCTTGGAATCAAGACCCAGGATTTCAGATTTGGTGTAGTTAATGATTCCTGCTCTTTTTCTTTGAAGCTCCTTAGATGCTCTCTCTGGAATTTTCAAATGAGGCCAAAAACCTAAGTACAGATGTAAAGCTTCATGAAGAAATTTGATCACATCTGTCCAAAAAAGCTGTCAGGGCACAGCCAAAACAGCTGGAAGAGCTCCCTGTGGTATCCTGGTATTCCAAAATACAGGGCTCATTCCCCTGGACTAATTTCCAGGCTGTTTGGCCATCTAATGTTTGCATTTCAAGTCTAACTGATGGCTTTGCTAAATATTTGTTTTGTTGTACAGTAGAGCGTGATGCCTTAAAATTTCTTGATCTTGCAGTTGCCTCTCCAAGGTGGATGTTTAGCTGACAAAATCCATAATGATGGATGTTCTGTCAGTAGGTCCCAGCAGCATTTGCAGTGCTGTAGATCCACATCCCTGTCAGTGCACACACTTCCATTGTGCTTTACATCTCTCCCACGATCTTTCCTACTTAAGGGGAAACAAGAAAGCTCCAGGTCAGAGCAAGTGGGTAATGACGCTCGTGAGAAGCCCCTCCCAGTGATGATCTCAGCTTTACACTGCTTTGCTTTGTCTGTGCAGATAGTGGCAGCAATCATGGCAATCACAGGAATTGTAATGATGGCATATGCAGATGGTTTCCAGGGTGACTCAATTATCGGGGTGGCCTACGCCGTGGGATCAGCCTCCACCTCTGCACTCTATAAGGTAGGTCACAACTGTTTGTTGGCACTCCTGAATTCATTCACATTGGCTGTTAAAAAGACACAAAGAGAATGGCTGTGAAATAAATGTTGTGTTCTGCTCCTCACTCCTGCGTCACTCGTGTTGTGACAATGTCAGGAAATCTGCCGTGAGGGTAATTAGTTGTCATCTGCCAATTACCCAGAATGGCTTTTCTTGATGAGCCTTTAATGAAATCTCCACTGCCACGCCAGGAGGAGTTTAAGATCGTTTTTAAATCGTGACAACAAGAGTTTATCAACACTTCTCAAAGGGGCTCTCCATGTGCAGCAGGGAGGAGAGCCAGGGAGGACAACTCATCCCAGGTGTGCCCTGCAGCCGCCTGGCACAGGCTGGGCTCAGAGCCCTGCTGTGAGCCTGGCACAGGCTGCTCATTAGAGACACTTCTGCTTGGAAGAAACGGCTGCTCTGGAAGGTGAGGGCTGGGAAAGGCAGGGATTCTGTCTCAGGAACAGTATGGTTGTGTTCGAGGGTCTCAGGATGAGGGAAGAGAGGAGAATCTCGACTCCATGTTTCAGAAGCTTGATTTATTATATTATTATATTATATTATTATACTAAAACTATACTAAAACGAATAGAGAGAAAGGATCCAAAAGAAGCTAGAAAGAAAGGCAAAGGAATGAATAACAAAAGCTTGTGACTCTCAGAGAGTCTACACAGCTGGACCATGGTTGGTCATTAAGTAGAAACATCTTACATGGACCAATCAAAGATGCACTTGTTGGTAAACAATGTCCAGGCCACGTTCCACAGCCATCAGACAGTTATTGTTTTCATTTCTTTTCTGAGTCTTCTCAGGTAGAATAGGAGAAAAAACCTAGCAAAGGACTTTCCATAAAATATCATGGTGACGGAACAGTTTGGGCTGAGCGTGGCTGGGTTTGTTTTCAGCTGCGTGTGTCAGGTTCGGAGTGGGTTGTGGTGGGATCAGAAGCTGCTCTTGCAGCTTTAGGCTTTGCTCATCTCACTCAAATTTGTTGTGGCCTCTCAAAAGTCTCTCAAAGCTCATGAATTGAGGCTGATAGAGGACAAGTTCTCACAGAGTGAGCTCTTCCAGGCTGGTTTCCTCTCACAGCAGGGTGATGCTGTGGAAGTCACTGGAGCCTCCTCCCAAACCCCAGTGTTGCCACACTCAGCCCAAATCCTCTACACTTACTGCATGAATGGTGTGTTCTTCAGTTCTTGCTTTACTCTTGGTTTTTCCTGGGTTTTTCTACACTTGCTCCTCGTGGCATTTTGTGTAAAGCTTTGTTGCACAGACTCAGCCATCCCCGTGGTAAAGGCATGGAGCTAAAACCCAGGAAAGGGCTGAAATCCCACCAAAGATGCCCTTGCAAGACTCCAGTGAAGGAAAAGGGCTGGCCTGTGGCAAGCTGGCCTTTGCTGCACTCTCCCAAAGGGAAGGGAGTGCTCTCATGACAGGCATGGAATCTAAACCCCTCCACTCTCCTCTCCTCTCCAGGTTTTGTTCAAAATGTTTCTTGGGAGTGCAAACTTCGGGGAAGCAGCTCATTTCGTGTCCACCCTGGGCTTCTTCAACTTCATCTTCATCTCCATCACCCCCATCATCCTCTACTTCACAAAAGTGGAGTACTGGTACCCCTTCTCTGCTGTGCCGTGGGGTTACCTGTGTGGAGTAGCTGGCCTCTGGTTAGGTAAGTGATAAAACAATTGATTTATTTATTTTTCTAGGTCTTCACTCCTCCAGCCCTTTATAAAATTGGCCTTGGGCACAAACAATTTCCCCTGTCCCCTTAAGCAGCAGAGCTCTCTCCCAGATTAATTCTGGTCCCACTGCAAAGTGCTGCTCCTTAGAAATGATTCATATTTTTCATTACACTTCATGAAACATTACTATTAATTGAGATACAATTAATAATTGATAGATAAGCATAGTTATAATTAATAATAATTAATAATTAACAGTAATAGCAGGGTGTAAACATGAAGCAGCACTACTAATTGCCCATTTTTTCATCCCCACCACAGTTCCACAGCAATGCCCCTGTCTCTGGCACAGCTTGACTGCTGTAAATCCCATTTCAAAGGGCTGCATGTCCCCATCCTGGGGGATGTTTGTGCCCTGACAGGGGCACCCCCAGTGCTGGGGCACCTTCCTGGGGCTGCTGCAGGCTCTGGGCAGGGCTCACATAAGGCTCCCTCTTTCTGAGCCAGGATTGCCAGCAAATTATCTGCTGGATTCAGCCCAGGGGCATTTTAATTTCCACATATAACAACATCCTTTCCTTTGGTAAAGTCTCTTTTATTCCATAATTGAAGAGGTTTTTGTCTCACTACGTGTTTATTAAATGGAAGCAAAAGAAAATGTCATTGCCTATCCCATCCTGAGATGTGGCCAGCCTGGCAGCTGAGCTGCTGTGAGCACCTCGAGCTGCTCCAACCACAGCTGCAGCTGCCCTGTGAGCTCCTAGGGGACCAAAATTAGGGATAATTTGTCACTAAGTGTATAAACCCAACCTAATGCAGGGCAGTCAGCAGCAGGACTGGGTGGTGGGTGATCAAAAACTTAAGTTTGTTTTTAATCTTTCAAGGAAAAGTTAAACTTAAGCAATCTTTAAGGCGTTTTTTAATGTTACAAGGAAAATGGAGCTCTCTGGAAGTGCTGTCGTGTAACAAAAAAAAAAAACCCAAAACAACAAAAGACCAGGTTTTTTGTACGTTATTGTAGAAAATTTGTACATTTGTACATTTTTGTACAAATGTACATTTTGCCCATATGCCTGTGCAAAGCCATGGAATATAACCTCAGTATTATGGTTTGTGAAAGGGCACTCAGCCCTCCCCTTTCCCCTGTGAAGAATTTCCCCTAATTTCACATTCATATAGAAAAAACCAAAAATCAATCACCTCCCTCCTTGTGTGTGGATACTTAATGTCACGTATTGCACCTTTAGGGTCTAGGTGGAGGAGAAATGTCTCACTCTGGTGTTTTCCCCCATTTTCATGTGTTATTTTCTCTGTTTTTCCCTAGCTTTCAACATCCTGGTTAACGTTGGGGTGGTGCTGACCTACCCCATCCTGATCTCCATTGGCACCGTGCTCAGCGTCCCTGGAAATGCAGGTACCAGTGCCACAGCTGCTGCAGCTGCCAAAATGAGCCCAAGGGAACTCAGAAAGCAGTTTATTGCTTAAATAATTTGTTGGGTGGAAATTTCCTCCAGAGTCCTGTCTTGAACAACCCCTGTTCTTGAACAGCTCTCTGCTTTTCAGTCTCAGCCTCATCACTTTTGGGGGTTTGAGCACAGGAAAGATCTGGATTTTGGGGAATGCAGCTGTGAAGGAATGCTTGTGGGAGGCTGCCTGAGGGCTCAGGTGTGCTGTGGGGGCTGCTGGGCCTGGGGGCACCTGGAGCTCTCTGCCCATCCCTGGTTCCTGCAGCCTGAGGGAGCTCTCTGCTGATGCAGCCTGTCGTGGACAAAGAGTTACCATAAAGTGCCTTCTGTCTCAGCAATCACAGGGTCATCAAGACTGGAAAAGAGCTCCAATATGATCAAGTCCAACCTTCAACCAAATATCCCAGTGCTCACTAAACCATGAAGTGAAGTGCCATGTCCACTCATTTTTTGGACGCTTTGAGGGATGGTGACTCCACCACTGCCCTGGGCAGCCTGTGCCTGTGCCTTACCAGTCTTTCAGAGAAGAATTTTTTCCAAATATCCAATCTGTCCTAATGTGGGGTCTTTTCCCTTTGTCCTGTCCCTTGTTCCCTGGGAGCAGATCCTGAGCCCCACCTGGCTGCACCCTCTCCTTGCAGAGAGCAAGAAGGTCCCCCCTGAGCCTCCTTTTCTCCAGGCTGAGCCCCCTCAGCTCCCTCACAGACCCTTCCCCATGGAAATCTGAGGTTTAATCCAGCCCCTCCCCTTCCTCAGCCCCTGCACAAGGCAGTGAGGGACAGAGGAGCTGTGGCACCTCCAGGGCTGCACTGTCAGATCAAAGCTCAGGGAGATCTGAGAGCCCCACGGCCACTGTCACACCCAGAGTGTGACACAGGGTCACAGGGACGTGCCAGGCTGCTCCTGGTGCCATCACCCACCCTGCTGCTGTTCTGATTCTGCTGTTGTTCCCTCTCCTCCCAGCCGTGGACCTGCTGAAGCACAAAATGATCTTCAGCGTGGTGCGGCTGGGGGCCACCATCATCATCTGCATCGGGTTCCTGCTGATGCTGCTGCCCGAGGAGTGGGACGAGATCACCCTGAGGTTCATCAACAGCCTGAAGGAGAAGAAGAGCGAGGATCACTCCGAGGACATCACGGAGTCCAGCGTGCACACGAGGAGCAGGAGCAGAGCCAACGGGGCCGTGTCCATCCCGCTGGCGTAGGGCTGGAGGAGCCTCCCTGCAGGCAGATGTATATTCTGTGAATATAGCTTAACTTTCCTCACCACCTGTATGCTTCAAAAAAATGTCATCTAACCTGAGCAGGGGATGAACTGTAAGATAAGAGAAGTACATCTATAATAAATGTTTACATTTATACACTTAACGAGGAACGGGTGTAAATAACTGCAATAAAATCTTTTGTAATAAACAAATGTTTAAGTTTGTGTCTTTCTGGGCTGGGGAGTTTAAAATGTGGATCAAGTTTACATCGTTTATCTCTTTGCTGGCAGAGGTAGAGCCATTTTGGAGGATACAAATCTTGGATATTTCCAGCTAAATCTCAGAATTTAACATCTTGACTTACTTTCAATGAAGTGCCCTTTCTTCAAACCTCTCCTGGCATCTTGGAGAATTCATTTCTGATGTTGACATCGATATTCCCAATTATTATCAGAATAAATATTCCATTCCAGAGCATGAGGCCTCTCCTCCCAGCCCCACTGGGCTGTGCCTCCTTCCAAAACCACCTTTGTAGAAGTGGTGCTGGAATTTGAGTGCCTTTAGTAAAGCGAAACATAGCTTTATTTACCTTGTTTTTTTCCCAGAAAAGCTGCACTACAAGAGTTTCAGGAGAGATGGAACCCCCTGGATCGCTGCTGTCCCTGGGAAATGCCATTTCCTATTTTCTAGAGCGTTGGGACAAATGAATATTTTTCTTAACCTCTACTGTGGAAAAGTCTTTCAGAAGCCAAATCAAACCAACCAGCCTCCCAATCCCTTCCCTAGGCCTGCTGCTGTGTAATTTAGGCTGGTTTACAACATCCCTGGGATTGACCACTCAAGACTGTCTTTATCTGAGAGCACTTGATAGGCAGACAAACTTTTTTTTTTTTAAAGGAAGAATAACACCAACTGAAAAGTAGTTAGGGGTGTTTTTTAATGGTATTTCTTCCAGGGGAAAAAAGAATGTAAATAATAATTTGACTCTTTTTATATTACTCTTCTGTTGAATGTTTTAAAATTTTTTTAATGTTCATGTCTAAGCTGTTCCTTGCAGCCAGCAGAGCAGAAAAAAACCACTTGTGTGTATTAAAAAACCCCACAAACTGGGGCTCTTTCATCAGATGGCTGCAGAATTAGGGCTGCAAAAACCGACCCAAGTGTCCCCTGTGCCCTAAACCCAGAGAGGTGTAAGGTTTGCATGCACACAGAAGCCTCTTACAGCTCCAGGTCCGCTGCTTTTGAGAGGAGACAGACAAAAAATATTGCAAAAAGTTAATTATAAAGTTCCTGATGGGCTGAAAGCACCCAGCACATGGCAGCTTGGCCTCTCCCCACAGTTTTGGAGCTGATACATTCATTTGCATTGCTAGATGGTTTTGGGGATGTGTTTTACTGAAATTTTAGCTCCTGCCAAACTGAACACATGGGGAAAACAAAACTTTCAGCATGCATTGATGAGTGCTTTTTGGCAAGCAGCCTCATGGCAGCATCTTCAGACTGGATCCTTCAAAGAACTCGTTGAGAATTCTGCAGGGAAAATTGTGTGAAATCCCATTGTCTGAGTCAGCTTTCCCCTGCTTGACACATTCCATGGCCAGGGGCACAGGGTGTTAAAAAGACTCTGATCCCAGCAAGGAAGGCTTGGGCAGAGCACCCCTGCTTTGGCTTGATGTTCTCAGAATGATTCAGGTTGCAATATTCAGGTGTGTGAATTCTTTGCTTCTTTTTGCCAGGGTCGGGATTAAATGGCAAGACAGAATTTTGTGTTGGGACTCAGATGTTTATTAGTTCTTATCTCTGTCACAGTTCTGAGTTCTACAGCACTTCACTTTAACAAGCTAAAAATGGAGCCCCATCTCTCTCTCTTCAAGGTCTTTTAGGGATAAACTGTCCAATTAAGAAATGACACCTAAATTATTTTTATTTTTAACCCAATAACCAACCACCCGTGGCTGCAGTGTGGACTTTTTTATCCAATTACACAAAACCACCCAAACCCATAGAGAAGAAAGTGAAGAAGAAGGAGCAGCCTCCACCCTAAAACCTCCATCTTGCTTTATATATATTAGTATATTCTAAAACTCTTAAGTTTTCCACCCTGTGATATCACACACTTCTATCCAAACTCCACAGCCACAATCCCAGTTCTGTCACTCTATTTTGGAAGCTTCTCCAGGCCTCAGGTCAATGCAGTGTTCTCTTGGGGGTCGGAGCCTGTCAGCACAGAAAGTCTGAAATTCTCAGTGACCTGGGTTCCAACAGAATGGTTTTTAAAGATCTTCCACTCCCATTCCCCTGCCATGGGGGAACATGGACAGGAGAGGGGACTGGGCAGTGTGGGAAGCCTGTCAGGATTTTGGCAGCTCCTGGGTAAAACAGATAAAGCACCATGGGCTTGAACATCCACGTGGGTTTCCACTGCTCCCACACATCCATCACTGCATTTAATTCAGGATTTTCCCAAGCTGCTTAACAGGAATGACCTGTTCTCAGCTGGGGGAAGGTAATTTTAAAAAAAAAGGAAAAAGAGACAGTAAGCATTGAGAAATTCAGGAGGGGAGCATGGTGTTGATTTTACATTTTTGTTTGAAAAGAAGAAGGAAAAAAAAATACAGGCCAGGCTGCTCTGCTCCCTCGTGCCCTGTGTGACCTGGGAAAAGCAGAGTCATGAGAGGTGTTGGTGCTTTGTGGCTGAAAACATGAGCTGGTTGGGTTGTTCCAGGGATGAATATTTTCTTCTGGGGGCAACCTGGTCTAGCGGAAAGTGTCCCTGTCCATGGCAGGGGGGTGGAACTAGAAGATCTTTAAGGTCCTTTCCAACCCAAACCCTTCTACAATCCTATGCTTTTATGAACTATCAAATATTACTCATTTTTACCAATAGTCTCAGTTAGTTTTGTCCAAGAGCTGCACTTTTTTCCAGCAGTGCTCCCAGGCAGCAGCAGCAAAGGTGGGGGAAGCTCCTGGGCTAGGCTTTATTCCCAAGCCAGACTTTATCCCCATTTATTTAATCCTGCTTCTCCCATGCAGGATGGGAGACACTTTAACCCTTCTGGAGCTCCAGGGATTAAATTTCCTTCCAAAACCTGAAGATCTAGCAAAAGAGCTGCTTGAAGAAATACCCGCAGGCCAGCTGAGGCGGTGGCCCTGGTTGAAAATCACTTAAAAACCAAAGTTTCTCCAGGGCTTGGCAGTGGCTCCTGAGCTGCTTTCCCCTCTGTCCTCCCTGCAGGGGAATGGCTGGGGACGGGTCAATGTTTAACCAAGCTGGGCAGGACATCTGTGGGAGCTGGGCAGGACATCTGGGAGCTGGGCAGGACATCTGGGAGCTGGGCAGGACATCTGGGAGCTGGGCAGGACACCTGTGGGAGCTGAGCAGGACACCTGGGAGCTGGCCGGGCTCCGGGTGGCTCCCAGAGATCCCTCTCCATGCCCAGGGATGGTGCGTGAGGGCTTTTCCTGCTCTGGCTCCGCGGGATGGGACTGAGCTCCTCCACGGCGCGGCCCAGGGTGACCAGGGTGGCCCCGGTGCCCACCCGGGGGGACGTGTCCCCTCTGCCTGCCCTGCCAGGCCAGTCCCCAGCCTGGGGAAAGCCCAAATTCCAGCTGGAGTTGCCTCCTCTGCGGGAGACCTGGTACGGGAGAGCCTCTGCAGGTGAGGGGGCCCTGCTGGATTTGTCAGCCCCGGGGTTTGCTGTCCCGCCCCAGCAGCTTTCTGCCATTTTTTCTGCCTTTTCCAGGGTGTTTCAGCTTTGGCAAAACTCTTTTTCCCCCTTGCGCTGTTTTGGGAAGCGTCTCGCTCTCCAGAGCCCAGCTCCTGGCTCTGGGATCAGCCCCCGTGTCCCCTCCACAGCCTGTCCTGCCCTGCCAGGCCCATCCCTGCCCCGGGACAGTCAGATCCCGGCCGGGCAAAGCCCAGCCCTGGAATCACTGACGGATTTCCAGGGGCAGAGGAAGGCAGGCAGCCTGGCTGGGTTGTGCTTCCCTGCGAGCAGCCTCTGAACTCCATCCCTGCCCAATCCTTCCCGCAGCTCTCCACAACGAGCTGGATGCTGACAAATGCTTCCCACAGCTCTCAGGGGAGCGTGGGGAGGAATATCCATGAAAACCAGAGGGGTGTGAGGAAGGGCGAGGCAGGGGGAGCAGGATCTGCACCCCCAGCACCCCCTCCCTGCTTTTCCATTCCCAAAAATCAATTTCTGACCCACTCCAATCGGTGTTAAGCATTGATGCTTCACCAGAAGCTGGAAATTTCCTCCTGGATCATTCCTCAGGTGGCATCAGGAAGCAGTGAAAGCAAATAAAGCTCTGGAGTGATAGCAGTGACATTCCCAGAACTGAGGTTTTGGGGAGAATGCAAATCAGGTCTTGCTGTAGAAAAGCAGGTTTTATGTACTCCACAAGAGCAAGAACAACCAAATGTTCCTGTTCTGGGAAATTATCACTGAGCATTTAACAAATGCTTGTTTAAAAAACTGTATTTTATTTTAAAAAATTAATAAATGCAATCTCCCATTACTTCCCATTTTCAGAAAGAAGATGAGTATGCTCAGGAGGACTTGAGTGAAGTATTAGCTCAAGCTGCTGTCTAAATAAGCAGAGCCTCCCAGAGAATAGGTTTTATTTGGTTTATGAGGGTTCAGCTTGGCTTTTTTTAATACAGATTCCCCCAGAGGGGAGGATCTGCTGCTGCTGAAGTGCAGGGGTGAAAAACAGGAGAACAGGAGCCTCAAGGATGCCTTGAGGTGGGGCTTGGTGATGTGGGAACAGCCCTCAGCCCCCAGCTCTGTATCTGCAGAGGATGAGGGCAAATGCCCCATGCATGGATAGGATGGGAGGGAAAAACCCAAAACACCCCCAAACACAAACCATCAAACCTCATAAGGGAGAAATAACTTCCTCAAAGCCCTACCCTTCAGCAGGACAAGCTTCTCCTGAGTCACAGCCACTTCCCTGTGTCGTGTCCCTGCTCCCATTTCCGTGGGTCACCTCCTTCCCTTTTGCTTTCCCCTCAGAAATTCCCTGAATTGCCTGCAGATAGAAGCAATAACCCCCTTTTTCCTCTAACAAGCTCCTATTCCACCACATGTTCCCTGCAGATGAGCTTTGTCTCCCGAGGAGCCTCCTGTGCTGGAAATTTTCCCCTCAGGCTCCCATTCCTGCATGTGTGGAGCAGCCAGAGCTTCATTCTGAGGTTAAACATTGCCAG